TGGGAGCCGGAATATGACGTCATCAACCCGGCTCCCAGCAACAGCAGACATCCCGCGCGGCGAGAGGGAGCAGAGAGCACACAGCTCCCTCTCCGCGTGTGACAGGGAGAGAGCCGTTCACCGGGGGGCAATCCATCAGGTTGCCCCCCCCCCCATGACAGGGGAAACAAGGGGGGGCATTTGGGGGCGGCATTTTTTGCCGCCCCCTGAGTGCCTGCAGGGGGAACGGCGTTCCTGCTGTGAAAAAAGTGCAGGAACGCCGTTCCCACGCGTTCCTGCAGGACTCGAGCCCTGATGTAGAGGCTCGAGAGGGGGGTGAATGGCACACATGTAGTGGCTAGGAAGGATGAAACAAATGGAGGGAATGAAACACATAGAGGGTCTGGGGGAAGAGAATGGCACACATGGAGGGGCTTGGAAGGGGGAATTGTACACATGGAGGGGCATGGGGGAAACAATGACACACATAGAGGGGCTGGGGGGGCAGAATGACACGTGGAGTGGCTGGGGGAGTGATACAAATGGAGGGGCTGGGGGAAGGGAATGAAACACATGGAGCGCCTGGGGGGATGACACACATGAAAGGGCTGGGGGGAGAGAATGACACACATGGAAGGGCTTGGGGAGAGGGAATGACACACATTGAGGAGCTAGGAGGGAGTATATGAGACACATGAAGGGATGAGGAGAGGGAATGACTCAAATGTGGGAGGCTGTGTGGGAGGAATGACACACATGGAGGGCTGGGGGGAGGGAATGAGACACATTGAGGGGCTGGAAGAGGAAATGAGACACATGGAGAGACTGGAGGGAAATGAGACACATGGAGGGGCTGGGGGAAAATGAGACACATGAAGAGGCTAGGAAGGAGTAAGACACATGGAGCAGCTAGTGAGTAATGAGACACATGGAGGGACTGTGAGTGAGGGAATGAGACGCATGGAGGAGCAGGGGTGAGGGATGAGACACTTGGGGGTGGGTCAGGCCCTGGGCAATTTTCACATCGTGTCCAGTGATTTCTAGGTATGCCTCTAGTTATCAGGGAGTCTTCCAGGCGGGGGGGAGGTCTGCAGACTGTAACACCATAACGGCGTGTAAGCCCACATTGTGCAAGATGGCATAGTACACCGTAACAGTGTTAACTGGTTAATATAATATAATTAATTGTACATTTCTTGCAAATAAAATGCTTCAATAGCCCATGTGGTTTGTATTTAATACATATCCTGTGAAAACATTTTCCTTTATTTTTTGAAAAGGGTAACCACAACTTAAAGAATGTGGGTGAGGGTAAAGGGGGTGTTCTGAAAGTTAATTGAGTTGCTGCAAGTAATTGTGGGCTGCAAGTATTTGCTGTATAAAATGATATGGTATCCAATATGTTTTAACTAAATAAGTCTCCAAGTGGGAAAATAAGTAATTCAATCATTTAAAGTTTTTCTGCTGTGTTCATCTGGTCCTGTAGACATGCAAGGCACCACACATATCCCATCTTTTAAGTAATTAAATGAGAGGTTTGTTACATGCTACAGCATGGTGCAAGATTAACCTGGTTAATGTAAGGTATGATTAGAGAATGCGGAATTGGTCCAGGACCCTTACCGTATACGTCTTGTGAGACCTCTTAGAGGATGTCAGAATAATAAGAACTCTGTAGAGTCTCAGGTAGTCATCAAACTACAAATGACCCCATCTAATTAAAGTTTGTTAGTTGTAGATGATAAATTATCCTGATTTGTTTTCCATTGTTCCCAAGTTTTACGCCAATAAGAGTTCGGTGATAAAGCATTTCTAGCCTTACTTTCGTATTGTCACAAACTTATCTGTACCTGGCACTTGCGTCGCTCCCCTCCTCTGACCACCCGGGCAAAATGCACAGTGTGGCCTCCTTACTGCAGTACTCACGCCGTGCAGCATTGAAGCTCCACGTGGCCTGGCGGCCTGAATAGATTTTACTTACCTTCGGTTGGCTCCCACAGCTGGTTCGCGGAAAGAACTGCAGCCCCTATAAATAAAATATTTTAACTAAGACACAATCTGTGAGTGCATGAGTAGTGTGCATTGGTGGCATGCCATATGTAGTTTGTAGAGAGTGAAAGATTAGAAAGGTACCTTTCTTCCAGAAGTGGGAAGTTCTAGTTATTCCATATCTATACCAGATTGTATAGCTTAAATCGGGAATAATGTGTGATAGTGTTTCAAAAGTTATGACTGAAAAGGACATGTGGGATACTAAACGGTGTCTGTGTTTATCCCATGTGATAAACTCCCCTCTCCAACTGAGTTTGCCACGAGCTCCTGGAGGAGCCTGCTTGCCAGACTCCTGCCCACAGACTATGGGCCCTGCAGGGAAACCTGTAAAAGACTACAAAACTTGACCGAACGTTTGCACCGATTTCATGGAACTGTTTTGGGCATAGGACCATGTGCACGGTCGGTCAAAATTATGACTTCCAGGAAATTCTTGAACTCCTGAACTGATCTGGGTAATTTTGCGATATGTTGGTCACCCAGATCAGGGCTATCAGGTGATGTAACATTTGTGGGGATATCATGTGTTTTGGGGTACTTTGGGGACTTTTTAGAAATGTATGTTTTTTTCTGTGCTTGGAGATAATTGGATTAGAATTAGTACAGTTACTGATCCAATTATCTCCCTAGCAGAAGGGAGGGATTGTGTGTCATGTGTGGGAGTGCCTAACATTGTAAATGTGTTATTATTGGTTTGTAAGTTTGTGTCCCTGTCCCCAACAAGGTCCATGTGGGCATACACCTTGTTTGGGGATTGTCATAAAAGGCCAGTGTGGCACCATTAAAATCTATTCCAGCTTACACTCCAAAACTGTGTGTTGTCCTGTTATTGGAGGGAATTGTCTCCTGTTCCAGCTTGCAGGGGATTCAATGGAGAAAGTCCATGTAAGGACTAGAGCTAATTCCTCATTCAGCTCCAGGAAGGAGCGGTTCCAGGGCCCCAGTCCAGCCATGGTGACTGTGGGCAGAAGTGCTGCGGTTTGTCCCCTGTTCCAGCTAGGAAGCGGTCCTTGGTGGAGGTACCCAGCCGGGCTACAGGGAGCTCCATTACATTGGTGGCAAGCGGATATACCAGAGGATAGAGAGACAGAGTGGAGGGTGGCGCTTTGAACAGATATCTGGAAGGAGGACCTTGATGAAATTGGACCCTTCCGGAGTGAGGAAATCCTGACCACCAACCATTACCAAGCGGAACAGCTAGAGCTGCGGATGCCGCTCCTGGGAAATCAGCCCTCAGATGAATGGTTAAGCGAACTGGAGATGCTAGTTGAGACTGAGGTGTGGCTGGATGATTCTTACCGGGCCCTGCAGTGGCATGCTTACCACCTCTACCCGTGGCTTATTGAGTACAAGTGTATTGAGGGAGGAGACTACGATGGCCCTGGTTTGTTGTGGGGTACTATTGAAACTAGTCTCTGGTTCGGAGAAACCGACATTGCTCGCTTTTAGTCCATCCAAGCTGAGTGGGCAGACAACTGGGACCTTACTGAGATCACTGCCATTCAGCCAGACCTATCTTTTCTTGCCAACCGGGAGTGGGAACTAGAACAGGATTATGTTGGCCTATTCCAACGGGTAACGCCGCCTTTCTCTGACATGATGGGGCTTATGGAATGTGCACCACCGGGATCATTGAGTTTCTTCCCCCCCCCCCAGCAACTAAGCCTGTCATCAGGAGACCCAGGCACTGTACCACCTACTTCCCAACCAGCCCCAGAGATAGAAGACCTTATCGACTGGTCCTGGGAGGACCCCAGTTGGCAGGTAGAGATGGGACTGAGGTCTCTCCACCAGCCCTACAGGGATGCTGGGCAGCCAGCTCAGATCTCCCACCCCAGATGGAGATGTTAAGAGTGGGGACAGTTGGTCTCTCTCCGCAGTGGCAGACAGAGTTATTGGGAAATGGAGACGTTTAGTCTCACACCCCAGCGGAAGTGTGACATCTAGGGAACAGTGACCCCCGGTTTTGTTCCCCAGCAGCAGTGTGCGTCCCAGGGAGAGAAGTGTTCCGTCCTTCCTCCCCAGCGGCAGTGTGTGTTATTGGGAGTGGAGATGATCAGTATCACTCCCCAATGGCAGAGTGTATCATTGGGAGAGGAGATGGTCGGTCTCTCTCCCCTGTAGCAGACAGAGGTACAGGGAGAGGAGAGTATCGTCCTCCATCCCCAGCGGCAGAGTGAGTTACAGGGAGTGGAGATGGTCAGTCTTACTCCCCAGTAGCAGTGTGCAACCCAGGGAGAGGAGAATATCATCCTCCATCTCCAGCAGCCAAGGGTGTTACAGGGAGTGGAGACAACCGCAGGGTGTATTTCAGGTAGAGAATGGTGTCACCTTTCCTCCCTAATGGCATAGTGTAATTTTGGGAAAGGAGACGGTCGGTCTCTGTCCCCAGCAGCAGTGTGTGTTACAGGGAGCGGAGACAGTCGGTCCCACTCCACAGCGGCTGGGGCTGTCGCCCAGAGACAGGCCCCTTAGCCTGGATGGTGTAGATGGGACAGAGGTCTCTGCACCAGCCCTATAGGGATGTTGGGCAGCCTACCTAGATACACAGCTGCCCATTCCCAGCCATGGCCAAGGTGCAGGAGAGGGAACTACTGACCTCCTTTGAACAGAAAAACTGGCAACTGGGCAGAGCGCAGCTGGCCTTTGCCCTACCTACCCCTTTGTTCTGGGGCTTGACGACCCACCAACCAACCCAGTTGAACCGCTGGCTACAGGACAGTGCGCCTCTGGCCTCTGCCCACCAGGCACGGATGAGGGAAACTGCACCCTCTATCCCCAGCAAGTACTTGGTCCAGCCAGGGGGAAGTGCATGCAGGTTGTTTCCCCGCAGGACACTGGATGTACAAATGGGCACTTTCGGGGAGAAGGCTGTCTGGACAACTACGCCTTTTGGGAAAGGCCACCAGACTATCACAGACCGATTGGAGGTCTGGGGTCTGGATAGTCTCCCTGGAAGAGGGAAGATATGTGACAAACTCTCCTCTCCAAGTGAGTTTGCCACGAGCTCCTGGAGGAGACTGCTTGCCAGCCTCCTGCCCACAGACAATGGGCCCTGCAGGGAAACCTGTAAAAGACTACCAAACTTGACCGTCCGTTAGCACCGATTTCATAGAACTGTTTTGGGCATAGGACAATGTCCACGGTAGGTCAAAATTATGACTTCCAGGAAATTCCTGAACCCCTGAACTGATCTGGGTGATTTTTGTATATGTTGGTCACCCAGATCAGGGCTATCAGGGGATGTAACATTGGGGATGTTGCTGCGGTTTGTCCCCTGTTCCAGCTAGGAAGCAGTCCTTGGCAGTGGTACCCAGCTGGAGTACAGTTAGCTCTGTTACATCCCATATTGATGGTGTTATTTTCATTGTATCTAGCATTGATGCCTTTGGTGGTCTGCTTGAATCTTTGGGTAGCCATGAAAAAGAATCTATTGTGTTAAGTTGCAGCTCTTCCATTTTAATTTGTTCCCACTAAAGGTAAGGCCCTTCAGTTCAGTCTATCACCAAACTACCAATTATTATCACCAATTATTGCAGTGTGATATTAGAGAGGCTAAGTCCACCTTTTTTAAATGGGATATATAATGTGTTAAGAGCTATTCTGGATATATTCCCGCTACAAATGTATGTTGTGATCAGTTTCTGCGTTTCAACAAAATAGGAAGGTGGGATGTTCTAAATAGCTTTTGTAATTTAGGGAAATGTAATCATCTTTGTGACTGTTATTCGCCCCAGCCAAGATATCATTTTCCACTGCTAGTTTTGCAGTGTGATTTTGATTCCTTAAGATAATTTCAGGAAGTTTGACTTATATAATCCTTGTGTAAACGCAACTCCCATTAATTTTTTATATTTTGTCTTCCAGTCGTAATTAAATTGTTGTTTTAATACATGTAATTTCTGATGTCGGAGGTTCAGCCCCATAGCTTGTGCCTTAGTAATGTTTGTTTTGAAATAAGAGCAGCTGTTATGTGCTATATATTTCATGAATATGATAATAAAGGTTGGTCTAGTGTTAACAGGATATCGTCAGCAAATAGTGACACTTTATATTCTGCTTTGTTGAATGTGATTCCATGTATGTTTGAGTTATTTTATATTAATGTGGTCCATGGTTCCAATGCTAATATGTATAAGAGAGAGGACAGTGGGCAACCCTGTCGTGATCCATTTGTTATTTGAAAAGTGTTGGAGATAAAGCCATTGTTGTAGATTCCAGCCATCAGATTCCTATATAATGCCTATATAACATAAATAAACTGTTAAGGAAAATGAAATCACTGTAATACAAGGAAGGTTCACTGCAGCCTGTCAAATGCTTTCTCAGCCTGTAGCGACAGGCATACTCTGGACCCCACTTTTATCGATATAGAATATCAAGGACTCTGCGTGTCCCATTGTAACCTTGTCTTCCTTGCACAAATCCCACTTAGTCCTTGTGGACAATAGTTGGAATGATGTATTTTAGTGTTTTTGCATAGACATTTGCAACATTTTTACATCTGTATTTAACAGAGAGATTGGTGGTAGATTCTGACTTTTATTTGAGTCTGGCAGCTGCATAGTCTTGGGATTCTGTGGATTCTCTCCAACAGCAGCATATCTATGGATATGTCAGGTGCTAGGGATTAAAGTGATACTATACCCACAGTTTGGGTGATGCTCCTCAGATGGAGATATTTTCTCCTTGCCCTGTCTTCGACATCCATTAACATTGCTTCTAAGGTATCAATCCGTGCTTGCAGTTTCACAGCTGCCTGGCCATGTCAATGTGTGCCGTGGCAAATTTATCCAACTTTGTTTCCATATGGGAGGTGCATGCCTCCACAGAAATTCGGCAAGCAAAAAAAATAAAAAAAAACTGGTAAAAAAGGAACTTATTACTGTGCAAACATGTAAAAATGGCAACAATATGCCTAATTGCCTGGTCCAATGGTTATACAAATAGCAGGCATTTGCAATGCAAAATTAGATTATTATACAGAAACATAGGAAGTGGCAAGCCTTTGAGACAACTACTATCTTGTTCTGAATAAAAATGAAGAGCAAAGGTCATTAAAATTGAAAAAAAAATTAAAGGGAAAAGTCAGTAAGCAATTGAACACCCACTCACCTGATAAAAAGAAATATTTACCAGCTGTCCAGTCTGTAGCATCAGTGACCATCATTTAATGTGGAAAAAACAGTGCCCTATCAACTTCTTCCAACTGCATTTATGGCGGTAATATACAGAAGACACAGTCAGGCACAGTCAGGCACATTTCATTATTAAACTATTAAATCTTAATTGTGTAAACTTCAAAACACAATTAAGAATTTATTGACCACAAATGGGCTAAGCAACTTAGCAACATAGCTTAAACTGTGAATTTCTGTAGAAAGAGTGTTTTAACAGGGGGAGGGGCCTGACCACTGAGCGTATGCGAGATAGAGTTGCTCCTGCATCTACAGACGAAAACTAAGAAAGCAGCCAAGAAAGGAACCCAAATGACACAAAAGTGCCACCAACAATACTGTTGGGCAAATGCAGATAAGTAGCCCATTGGGCACGAATCAGCAAAGGGACACCTGCGGCCTACAAGCATTGTTCGTGCAGGGGAGGCAGCCACCTCCCTGCTACGGCAGCAATCATGACTAAAGGCTTACGATCCCCCCCATGGGCCGGCGGGGAATATCCTGGTCCCAACAGGGTCCACCCAGGCAGCGGAGCAGCACCCTCAGACAGAGCTTGCCAACCCCAAACTGGCGTCGACCGCAACTGGGCCACCCGACACAAAATAAGGGCCTAGTACCCTGACAAGGCTAAACACCATATTTGCGGCCTTCTGGTTGTGATCCTTGTCTGCAGGTAGCACGGTCCTCTAGGGTAAACAATAGGCAGAGTATTTTTATTTTTATATAATCCAGGCACTTTATTTGTAAGTCCACACAGGAGACAGTAGCAAATGAAAGCAAATATAACACAAATCCCTATAAACAAAAACCTAGCTCATCTGAGCACTTACTAACATTAGGTTCCCTATCTCTCAGGGATTAAACTAGAACAAAACAATATTGGTTTCAGCAACCTAGTGTCTTTGTCAGCTCTCTGCACTCCAGTGCTTAGTCATCCTGTTGCTTTCCTTTCTACACTCCCAGTGCTCCAACCCAGCCTTGACTGCTTTCCTTTCTGCGCTCCCAGTGCTTCAAGCCAGCCTTGACTGCTTTCCTTTTGCACTCCCAGTGCACAAGGACTCTCTCACTGGAGAGAACAGCCTCTCTCCTACCTGCTTCCAGGGAGGAAGCCAGCAATCCCCCTTTACCTGCCTAGCAGGGAGGGGTTTATTCCCACTGCTACAGCTGATTATCTGCAACTGAGCAGTGGGTTGGAGACAGTTTCAAAAAACTGGAACCTTATTTCTCCCAGTTATGTATAAACTGAGGAGTGGAGCATTGGCCCACCCTGCTCTCCAAATGATCCACCCCAGGGGCCCATAACTAAACGTAGCTTTGTGTTGCACACCACACATACAACACGTACTTCCCCTGGGGTTAAATGTTAAAGGCCTCTCTACCTTCACTTTATCACATATCCTCCTCCACAGCTCAGACCCATAGGGGCAAGTGGCCTTAGAGCACAAACCGTGAACAGTCATGTCACCTAGGGCTGTACCAGCCCTGACTTGTTCCTCAGTTACAATAAGTGGCCTATTGTAGATGGCTGCTACCTTGCTCCCTTGTAGTTTAAGGAGCTCCCACCCAATAGGATAACCCAAATAGTTAGCCTCCTCTAAACCTAGATAACACTTAGTGTTAGCAGTCAAACCGGCAGCCCTTACATTATTCACAACTAACTGGACCTTCATCAGGTGTGCTTCCTAGTCCTCCCTGCGAATTACCACACCACCAAGGGAGGCAGCTGCATACTCTCTGTGGGGCCAAAGTATTCTATTCATCATATGCAAAAAGGGGGCAACCTGAATGGCAGTACTTTATGTTGCCATAACCCCTCGGGAGTAGAAAACGCTGCCCTTCCCTTTGCTTTCTCTGTCAGGGGAACCTGCCAATACCCTATGACCAGGTCCAAGGTACTCAGATACCTGGCCTTACTTATTCGCTCTTGCGTTTGAGCAACATGTACTATAGGGGATTTAACATTTACAACCTCTGTAACAAACTGTACCTCTGCCGTGGGGTATGTGCGGGTATCACCATGTGTACACACAATATTAATCACTTGTCTTATATCACATTTTTCTGGCTGGAGCAGAACACTTTTCAAAGTAGCCTCACTCCCTGAATCAATTAGTGCTTGTACACAATTCCCTTCCACCATCACCACTTTTAACTGTGCAGTAACACCACCACTAGTCACCATACACATCTTTAACCAAGTCAATAGAATCCTATGCAGAGCCCTTATTCCTATGTCACATTGTATTGGCTCTTCACTCTCAGGACAGTTATATGTAATATGTCCTTGCATGTGGCAGTTGAAGCATCAGAGTTTTTTCTCAGTCTGGTCTCGTAGCCATAATGGGACTTTTGGGTACGTTCTACCATCATAGTTATATTGTCCCAGGCTCAGTATCAGGTTTTGTACTTTCTTTCCAGCTTCCCCGCTTATCTGGTTGCTAGCGGATCTAGGCTGAGGATCAATACTGTATGGCTCCTTAGCAGCCAAGTTCCTCTCAATCATCTGCTTCCACATCCACAGCAGCTTCTGGTTTGATAATCTCTCAATGTCCGAGTTACTTTCAAACGCAAACTTTACAAAGGCTAACTTTTTTATATCACTTATACATCCAATTCCTTCATGAGCTGAATTTGCCAGGTGCTCAACCTCTTGAAGACTTGGTTCTGTCACCAGCTCATCCTCCACTGGAACAAGTCCCTCCGTGAAGGGCTCCACAACATCCTCCATCAGTTCTGCGAATTCCTGGGATCCTTCTTTGCTCCTTACGGGTAATGCTACAGGTCTCATCTCTATATCCTCAGGGGGTTTGACAGGGAGGTGGGCTAGAGAAACCTCCTCCTACATGAATGCAGCCTTTGATCTCAGCTCCATCCCATCATACTTGGCCTGGCCTGGTATGGAGCACTGTTCTTTACCCAGGGGTATCCTCTGCATGCTCGGCCTTGAGTGGCCACCTCTCAATGTCAGAAATGCTTTCCTCTGGGCTGTCTAGCAGTCTCCCTGCTCCCTTGGGGGTGTCCAGAGACGCAGTCATGGCCTCTCGCTG